CTGCTCTTCTCACTTTTCTTCTTCTTCCTCCCCTTGCATCTCAAAATTCCAGTCTCAATCAAGGAAGCTAATTGCCAACAACAATCAGCTATTCATCAGTGAGTTCATTTTTTCATTACATTTATGATTTGTAGGTTTATATATGTTATGAAATTAGGTTTTTTTTGGTTTCTATGAGATTGGGGGCTTTGTGTTCTTGGGGCTTTAGGGGGAAGACACGGGAGAGACAGAGAGTTTTTGTACTTGGTTTGTCTATCCTTGCTTTTTGGCAAGGTTTTGTTTTCTCCCTAGCTTGGTCTGAGGTTTTCAATTGGCCTTTGGGTCAGATACTTCTGTCTCTGTTTCTCTTTCTTTGAAACATGTCTGTCCTAGATGCTTTTTTTCTCTAGATTACCCAACCATCATTGTTCATAGCTCATTGTATAGTTTAGTACAGTTCCAAAATCTTAAGAACAAAACCTGCTAGGCCAATCTGGTTCTTTACTGTTAGATAAAAAATGTAATAATGTAATTAAAAATTCACCCAACATAATCTCACCCTTATTTACCAATAAGGGTTTGTATTATTAATTGAGTACGACCCATTCAAGATAAAAAATATCTCTTAATTATAATCTCTTTGAGAAGAGAACACCCTTTGATTCCAATGTGAATAATGAAATAAATAATGGAATTTGATTTGATGTTATGGCTGCATCCAGGAAACCCTAGACTGCCTACATACCCCCTGTCGGGGATCAAGCCTTTTGTAGTTCACTGGAGAATTTGATTGGACTTTCAAGGAATGAAAGACCCCTTGAAAGAATTTGTGGTGTGAGAAATATTTTATGGAATTTGGATGAATGTGGTTGGACCAGGGATTCAATTTGATTTTTGTGGTTAGAAAAGTGTTTGGAGCGAATTTGGTTAAGGTAAACCAGGGATTCTATTTGGGCTTGCGGTTGTATTTGGATTGAATTTCCAAATTGCCTACGTATCCTTGGCGGAATCAAACCGGACGTAGTTCCTTAAGAATGATTTGAGTTTGAGAGATTTTAAATTGATCTCACTGAAATTTGTAAGGGTAGATGACCCATGAGAAAATTTGGAATGGTTTTGTACCATTTTTTATTGTTAATGGCCAAAAGAAAATTAATAGGCATTTTAATGAGTCCATTAATTTTCTCACACATGGTTTTGAGGATGACATAATTTATTTGGACCACCCATCAAATATTTTGGGCTTTTGAAAGTTAATGGGTAATTTGTTTTGTCAACCCATCAATTTATTTGTAGGCCTTGTCATTTGGCCCATAAGAAAATAAGTCTGTGTCAGAAAGGCTTTGTGAGGCAGCTGCATTTGAAACCGATATTCATTCTGAGTCATTCTCATATCAAACCGTATATCTTCAGTTACTCAGAAGCCACAATTGATAAAGAGCTTTGAGTTTTGAAAAAACCAAAGAAAAGTCAAGGTAAGTTTCTCCTTCTGTCAGAGTAGACCAAATAGTTCACTAACTATTTGAAAGTCATCCCAGACTCCAACTTTTTTTGTCTTTTAGCTAGTCTCGTCATTTTCCTTTTCTTTAAGTTTCTGAGATTTCAACTTTTTTGGCTTCTTGGTTTTATGCTGCTTTTGGGTTCAACAGCCGCAACACAATAGACTTTTCAACTATAGCCTATTAAACTATTAGTTGATAGTCTTGGAATTTAGAGAGGCCACGTCTGTTTGTACAGAGCTTGTTTTGCTATTTTTTTTATTCTTTGTTTTGCCTTTTCTTCCTTTCTTTGACTAGTTTCGTCCTGTTCCTCCAAACTTTTTCCTTTTTTTTATTGTTGCTTCCTACTTCCATCTTGGGATGGCAGGAGGTGTATTTGAAATTGGCGAGCCTTCTCTCTCTTTGCTTTTCGCCTGAACCATTAATTTGCAGCTCTAGCCTTTGATGTTGATAAGCTTTTTCTTTTGGGATCTTACTTTTCTTTTTGTATGTCTCCTTGAAGACTTGACTATATTGTTTTGGGTCCAAAGGGAATTTTGAATTTTCTGCTTCCTTATGCTCTCTTGCTTCAGCAACGGCTTGATCCTTTATGGTTTTCTTGAAAATTGTTGCAGAGGAGTGCTGTCTCAGTAATTTTCGTGGGCTATCTGGCTTTGGAAATTTTCCTGGTTGGCAACTTTTGAAGCACGACACCAAGTCAATTTTGTGAACTTTCTGGCAATCAGATTTCATACTTTCTTCTATTTATGCATATGAGTGACTCTAAAACAGAGTTAATTTTCACCCTTTGCAGCACATTTTGCCATCTCTTCCTTCACCAATTTGCAGACCTGGAGTTTTGTTGTGCTGAAGGTGGGTTGGGCATGTAACAAATCATTTGGGATTTTGATGCTTTCTGTTTTTGGTACTCAAGAACACTCGCAAGGTCTTCTCTGAGTACCACAATGTGCCTATGGACACTCATAAGGTGTTCACAGCACTTAATACAATGGGGTTCTTGCAGAAGCCCATCTGTAATTCACAACAAAGAGGTCCTTGTGAGAGCTCTCTTTGTGTAAGTAGCATGATTATTGCCAATTTTGAGAGGATTTGTTTACTGCTGAGATCTCTTTTGATATCATTCTGCTGAGTTCTCTCTTGATATCATATATTTCTTGATCTCAGACATAGAGGAGGTTCGGGCTTCTATACAATGGCTTCACACACTTTTTTTTGTTTGCCTGCAATTCAATTGTACATAAAAGGATACACTCAAACGAATTAGCTTATACCTTCTCAAATGGTATTGTTGACAGAACTTCGTGATTTCTTTGAATTTCTGCAGTAGTTTGGTGCTTTTCCTTCTCTGCGTTTGTTTGCTTCTGCCCTTTTTTCTCTCCTCTGTTCTCTCTATCCTCCGTCCCTTTTTTTTTCTTCTTCCCAATGGTCTCTTTTTATAGACTCAAAGAAAACTGAAAGGAGTGGAGCTAAGGGCTCACGTATTGTGTGGGTGCTATATGTGGGAGTAACTTCCCACTTTCTTTCAGCCCCTCAACTCCGTACATGAAGCATATCCTGTTACTGCTTTTAATTCATTAATATTTTCTTGTAAAAATACTAATATTAATTCATTTTGGGCCTTAACTGATTTTGCAACAAGTCCACAAAACCATTTTAGCCATGAGCCCAACCTCTTTAAACTTGGGCCAGAATTTAATTTGCTAACAATGAATTTTTTATTTCAACATTTACATACATACATTTTTTTTCCTCACAATCACACCGGGTACAACGTATTTAGATTGGGAGCCATCATCATTTTTAAACATATAGCATATAGTGGATTTGTCCATCTTGGCATCTCGAGTGTGGCCAGTGGAGAATTTGCCTTGGGAAAGCCTCTCAATTCCCACACTACTACAAAAATCGCAATAGACGACGGTAATCCACCGTCGTGTTTCGTGTTTTTCAACAGTCGTAAAATCGACCGACATCTTTTGATGCATAAAACCACGATGGTAAATTCCCGTCGTCTATTATATGTAAAGACGACGGGTTTTAGTAAAACCGTCGTTCTTATTATGTAAAAACAATAGTTTTTTTGTTAAAAATCGTCGTTATTTATGGGAAAAGACGACGGTTTATAAAAAACCATTGTTATTTATGAGTAAAGACGACGGTTTATAAAAAACCGTCGTTATTTATGGGTAAAGACGACGGTTTTTTATAAACCGTCGTCATTTATGGGTAAGATGACAGTATCTTGTTAAAACCATCGTCATTTATTGGTAAAGACGTCGGTATTTCGTTAAAAACCGTCATCACTTATTTGTAAAGACGTCGGTATTTTGTTAAAAATCGCCGTTAATTGTATATAAAGAAGACGACATAGTGTTAAAAAGGTCATTGATTATATGTACAACGACGGGTTTTCCAATAAAACCATCGTTTTATTGTCTTTAAATTTGTCGTCTAATAAATTCCAAAGCTATTACATTTTTGTTTTTTGTTTCCTATGATTCTATATAACGATTTTAATCAGAAAACCAATTATAATGCTTTATTAACGAATATATACACTCAAAAATGATTTCTTTCATAAAACTTGAAGACTCAATATATTACATAGTCAACCAATCTTTATTCTATTGCGTACAATTTATGGGTAAAGATGACAGTATCTTGTTAAAACCGTCGTCATTTATTAGTAAAGACCTCGGTATTTCTTTAAAAACCGTCATCACTTATTTGTAAAGACGTCGGTATTTTGTTAAAAATCGCCGTTAATTGTATATAAAGAAGACGACATAGTGTTAAAAAGGTCATTGATTATATGTACAACGACGGGTTTTCCAATAAAACCATCGTTTTATTGTCTTTAAATTTGTCGTCTAATAAATTCCAAAGCTATTACATTTTTGTTTTTTGTTTCCTATGATTCTATATAACGATTTTAATCAGAAAACCAATTATAATGCTTTATTAACGAATATATACACTCAAAAATGATTTCTTTCATAAAACTTGAAGACTCAATATATTACATAGTCAACCAATCTTTATTCTATTGCGTACATACTTCCTACCTATAATTAGAAATAATAGAGCTCACAAATTCTACTAATTTGATCTTAACTTCATCAATTTGTTCTTGGGTTGACTTAGCTCTGCCTTCTTGCACATTTTCCAAGTTGGTGGTGTCAGAAGGACCTGTAATCTGTTGAATCAACTTAGAAATTTGCCTCTCATACTTATTGAAATCCTAACAAAAAGAAAAG